TTTTGTATCTTTATAAACCATTCTTCAATGAAAGAAGATAGAGTTCCTTGGAGAAATATCTGCTTCTAAGACTGGAGCAGGAATTATATAAAATAAGCCTGGAGCATGTTGCAACATGAGGAATTAAGGAAGTTCTCAAAAATAAAACTAAATAATAAATAAAACAAAGAGTACCCCCAAAGGCCACAGTGATGGGGCCATGTTCAAACAGGAAACAGAAGCCACCTGAAAGCCTGATGGCCAATGATGGGATATTTCAGCAATGAAATAAAGTACTTTAGATTATTACTCAAAGTACAAAGTAATATTTGTGAGTTCAAACTGGTACAGACAATATGACTGGATAAAATTAAATAGGGGAAATAAAGGAAAGACTTTGCTTAGCCAGTCTTCCCTCAAGGACTCCCTACTCCTTATAATTGACTAATATGTAGTAACTTCCTCTAAAAGTATAGCAAAGAGGAAACAAGAAAGTGTAATTTTAGGGTATAACAACCTGACTAACACCAGCACTACCAGGTGAGCAAGGACAATGTCAGAAGACCTAAGTCCTAGGGAGAGTACCTACTGTTGACATGATATAATTAATATGAATCACACCTTACCTCCATGACCTTCCTTCCAAAAATCTACATCCCTAAGCTAATCACGAAAAAAGAATTTAAATCAATCGCAAATGGGGGACATTCTATAAAAATCTTGGCCACCACTGCTTCAAACTATTAAGATTATTAAGAGCAATGGAAGTTTTAGACAACCAAAAAGAGCTTAAGAAGTCAAAGCGGAATGTGATGATAAAATGTAATATGGCATCTTGGAAGTGACTGAGAAACAGAAAAATACATCATATTAGTCACTTGCCCACTATGGGGACATAACACCTGAGACCTAGGACTTAAAGGAGGAAAGGTTTAACCGAGGCGTGGCTTTAGGAAATTCAATCCGTAATCAGATGGCACCAAGGCAGAAACATCAGAGAATGCTGCTCAGCTCATTGTAGATAGGAAGGACAGTTAGGGAAGAATGCCAGAGAGGAGAGGAGGAACAGAAAGAGACCCCCAGCCTGCACCTCAGTGACCCACCCAAACACACAGGAGCCTGCCCCATCAATCTCCAGTAGATCCCAAGCCAGCCCCATTGGCTGTCCACCTGAACCACAATATCCCACCCCTGGTCAACTTCAGGCTCAAAAACATCTTTTGTTTTTTCTTTCCATCATCACTGAAAGTTTATTTAAATTTCCTTTACATTGGGCTGGGGATTTGGCTCAGTGGTTCTGCCACCTGCCTTGCAAGGGCCAGAGTTCAATCCCTGTACCCCCTGCAAAAACAAAACAAAGCAAAACAAAAACCCCCCAAATTTCCTTTACATTTATTTTTTGAGAAATACATTTTTAATTTGGTCTTTTTTGAGTTAACACTTGCCAACTTCAATTAGACAGACTGAAACAAAAAATCTAAAATTAAATACTTATCACTTAAGAATAGAAACCTGTATAACTATAGAAAGAAAAATGGAAGTACTTAAATTTGCAAATCATCATCTTTGCTTTGTGACAAGTCTGTAGAAGTTTTGGTTCAGAAGGTACTAGATCTTAAAAGTGCATGAAGATCTCTGGGATATGCTCTATTTCCTTTTTTATATTTCTTATCCAGCCCACACAGCCAACCCTGGGTCAGAGCCCCCTTATGGCTAAGCCCCGCTGCACCTCCAGCCTGAGTTCCAGGCAGCAGAGCTTCCCTTCCCTCTTTGCCCTGCCTGGCTGAGCCTCTCCCTGCGTTGTTGCCTGCTTACCTGCCCCAGACTGCAATTCTGCATCCTCTTCCCCCACTGTCTTCTCCTAGTGTAGATGCCCACTTCTCTTGAATTCATCCAAGACATTTAGTGTGGGATTTGTCTGGGTAAGGAAGGAAGGAAAAAAAAAGGAAGCATGCAAAAGAAGAAGACAAAGAGAAGTGGTTAATTTGTCAAAAACATCTTCTTAAACCACATTTAAACTCCAAATAAATACAATAGCAAGTTCATAATTCTGCTTAACATACTATAACTGTCCTGAATACAACTAAAAACATAATAATACCTTCTCCAAATTCTCAACATTTCAGCATTTTTCAAAAGTCAAAGTCTCTTTTGAGACTCAAGGCAAACTCTTAGCTCTGAATCTCTATTAAAAAAAACAAGTTATATAGTCCCAAGGTACAACAGCACAGGATAAACATTCCTATTTCAGAAAGGAAGAACAGTGAACACAAAAGACTAAGAACAAAGTAAGATCTAAACCCAGCAGGGCAAACATGAAGGCCTGCAGCTTCATACCTGGTATCCAGGTCACATAGTGGTAAGATTTGAGTTCCAGAGTTGATGAACAACTCCAGGACATATGACCACTTTGTTGGGCTGGCTCTGTTCACTGCCTGAAGCTTTTCTCAGCAGACATTCTATGTTTCTGGCATATCTGACTTCCTGGGGTCTCCACTGCACCTTCTCTTCATTCCTGTAGCTTTATACCCTGCCCTCTCTGAAGCTGCGTTTGCTTGGCCTCCCAGGCCTTTCTTTGAAATGTGGATGGAAACCTCCTTGATGGTACAATTCTTGCTTTCTGCATATAAATAAAACCAGCATCATATAAACAATGCCAAGGCAGTGGTCAGTGGCAGCAGTAGCCAGGTCCCCTGGGACCATGGCTGCAGCGCTCTCTGAGAGCCTGTAAAGCTGATACAGTAAAAAGAATCCTAGGAAACCAATTCTCTAAGAGGCTTTTCTCAAGTAGGGGTTTGAGGGATTTTTTTCACAAATGAAAGATTTATACTTTTGCACCTTTGAGCTTTTGATTGATGAGGTTTTGTTGGTTCTTGAGATGTCTTCAAGACATCTTTCTTCTTGTCCCTATAAAAAATAATTGGTTTCATTTCAGTGTAGCAGATGTCTTCAGCAACAACACCTCTTTTGGCCCCAAATTTAGAAATGCTTTGCTCCTGATTCTCACTATAATTCTGGCTAAAAGTAGCTGACAACACTCATGCTACAGCCTGAATATTGGGCTGCTTTTGAATTTGACTAGATTTTATTTAGTCCACCATCTTTCATATCAGTCTATTGCAAAGTCAAAATGTAATGTCAGTCTATTGCAAAGGACAAAATGTAGACCATTTTTTTTTTTTTGGTAACATTTACAGCCCTTAGTCCATTTGTCAGTGAATCCTTTGATCACAACTGAAACCCCTCAAGCCTGGCTTTTATGCTTTGTATTTCTGTTAGCATTCTGATCCAGTAAGCTCTGAGCAGAATCACCCATTAGGCTCTTCCTACTGCATTCTATGGATTTTTCAGCCAGCTTCTCTAAGTTTTTCCAAACACCTCCTGCAAGCCAGTTTAAAATGCTTCTCAATCACAGGGTCAGGTGTAATCACAGCCATAGCCCTACTTCCTTGGTAGTAGTTTTCTGTACTAGTCACTTTCTTATCACTGAAACAAAATACCCAACAACTACAACTCAAAAGAGGAGAGGTTTAAGGGGCCGAGTTAGATCCTCAGTACAAAAAAAGAAAAAGAGGAGAGGTTTAGATTGACCCATTGCTTCAGAGGATATGGGCTGGCTCTAAGGCAGAAACACCAGAGGAGAAAGCTGCTCAGTTCACAGTGTCTGAGAAGCAGAGCATAGAAGAGTGCCAGAGAGGAAGGGATGAGGGACCAGACCCCAAGGCCACAACTCCACAACCCACCTAGACATAAGCCAAAATACATATGAATGTAAATTATTTATAGTTTGGGAAACTACGCATGAAGTAAATGGGTACTCTGTATAATCTCCGTAATTTCTCTGTAAACATGAAACTATTTCAAAATAAAATATTATTAAAAGAAACCTAAATATATCTGTGGTCCTGTCAGTAAGTAGAGCTTGGTTATCTATTCTTAAGAGTCATGAGAGCAAAACTATTTCAGACAATTTCACAGTCACTGCATAATGAAGAAATGAATAAATGTGTGTCTCAGTACATCTAAAAGGTATTTGGCAAATAATGCTTTTTAAAAAAATGGCAAAAAAGGAAAAGGTAATGAGATGCTAGTAGTTTGGAGACATATTAATTCCTCTGCTCCTTCAAGCACTGTTACATGTTCTAGTAAAAAGCAATAGAGCAAATCCACCCTGTGCAATATTGTGGCCATGTGACAGCACATGAGATGTAGCTGGACCTATTTGAGATGTGCTGTAAACGCAAAATACACACTGGATTTTAGCAGCACAAAAGTATTTCAGTAATATTGCTTCTATGGCACCTCACGTTACATTCCTCTTAGAGAGGGCTGGATTAAACAGATCCCAGGAGCTTGAAAGAGTTAATGGATCTATGAAGAGCATACAAGGTCTCTCCCAGAAATTATCCAACTCCACTGTGAATTTCTGGGCCCTTACCACAAAAAGCTGGAACTGTGCTGTATTGAGGCAATTTCTTGGGGATGACTTTTGCCACCATGAAAAATCACCTGCAGAGACAAGATGCTTTCTCAATTTTTAAATTTTTTTTCCCTTGAAGATTACACCTAAAAGGGAGTGTTGGAGGGACCCTTCTTGAAGGATTTCCGAGTGACAGAATTAAAATGTATAATGAAATGCCTGTCCCTACCTGAAGCACCTTCGGATACTGGTTTTGGTTTGTTGTTCCTTTATGGGTGATGCCGTTTCTTCTAAAATTTCAAACCACTTGGAACAACTTTTTTCAGAGCATGGAAATGTTTCAAGGCAGTATCCATATGACAAAAAAGCAACTGGCAGAAGAATAAAATGTTAATAAATTAGTTGTTTAGACTACAGAGACTATAAGACAACAAACATGAGCAAAGGACAGGACACATCTTACTCTAACAATAAAGCTCTGGAAGATGAGAAAAAACAGGAGGAAAAACAGGTTCCAGCTGTTAGGTGGGGGAATTTGTATATGAGTGTGGCTTATTTTTAACAAAATTTAGTTACACTTCCCTGAGTACAGTATTTTGAGAAGAAAAAGAACCAAAGCCACATGAAATGTTTTGTTTTATGTAAGTAGATCTGGTCATAAATTCCCATATTTTACTAAAGTTTGTATATATGCAAGGTCCTTCCACTGAAGTACTTATTGTCTACTCTCAGTGGTTGTTAGGAAGAAATTACCCAGGGAGAAATAAGTCCTGCACGTTCCATGTGAGAACCGTGGAAGGGTCGGGGATTTGGCTCAGTGGTTCCGCTGCCTGCCTCGCAAACTCAAGGGCCTGAGTTTGCTCCCCAGTACCAAAGAAAAGAGCCATGGAAAGCAGGATTCGGTGCGGCGCTGGACCCACTTTGTCAGGCGGCGCTGACTGTGGGCTGCGGGGATGGTGCAGAATAAAATACTGCAATTTATGGTGCTGGTATTTACATGGCGGAGAGATTCATCCTAAAATAGTAGGAAATAAAGTTGAGCTGCAATCTGCACATTTAACCACGGGGAAGCCCAAGTTGTTTTCAGTCACACAGTAGTGCCGGTAGAGAGGCCTGCAGTCCAGGCTCTCCTGAGAGCCACCGGTCTCTCCCACCAACAGTGCTCACTGCACGGCTGAGGGTTGCAGGGCGGGGCGGGCTGCAAGGGCAGTGGGGTGCCCTGGAGGGCTGAGCTGACTGTCCTCGCAGCCTCCCCTAGAGGGTCTCCTCCCCCTCCCCCGCCCCTCCCTCTCCCCCTCTTCCTCCTCCTCTCCACCACTGCAGCCTCTCCGGCTTGGTTTTTATGAGCCCATGTTTGCATTGCATAGTAATTACATTCATTGCGAGGAGAGGAGTGCGTGCATAGACTTAATGCATCTTAGTTTGTTTTTTCACCCCCTTCCCCTTTGTATCTCCCTTTTGCTATTATCTTTTGTTTTGTTCAGTTTGTTTATATCTTGGGCTTTTTGTATAAGAGAAGTCATGCAATATTTAAGCCTGTGCATCAGATTTGTTTTACTTAACATTATGGTCTCAAGATGTATCCATTTGCCTACAAATGATTCAAATTGATCCTTCTTTGTGGCTGC